TTTTTTTTTGGTAATACCACTATCTACACTCATGTTTCTCCCCTTTTTTTTTTCCTATCTATGCTTATTATCTGAGAAGAATAATAAAGGCCGCGCTCAGTGCAGCAGCAGCTTCGTGCACTCCGTCCATCTTCCATACGACTGCATGTACATGTTCTAATTGTATCTCGGTGCAATGACAATAAAGCTTATTCTGATTCTTCTGATTCTGGCATGAGGGTCCACTGGTTCCAAAGGTAGTCCAGAGAGGTCCCAGAGAGATTGTAGATATGACGGACAAGTAGGGAAGGAAAAGAGCATCTGAGGAGATCACCAGGAGATTCACAGAGAGCACTAAGAGGTCCATGGCATCGAGGGAACATGGGGAAATGCTGAAAAGTGCAGGAGCGAGGAGTTAGTCTTTGCAATAATAATAAGTGCTGTGTGTTGTCATCATTGTATGTTCTCATACAACGGTAAAATTAGTTCTCTGCATTTAACCCATCGCACCTGAGATACACCCAGGAGGAGCAGTGGGCAGTTATGTTAGCGCCCCGGGAGCAATTGGGGATTGGGTGTCTTGCTCAAAGACATCACAACATTTGGGAATGGCTGGGGTTCGAACCTGGGGCTTTCGAGTTTCAGATTGGCTGCCCTGACTCTTCCCCATCTTGGCCCCCATATAATACTAAAAACACAACAGTGGCCAGGAACACACATAAGGCAGACAATGCACCAGCGTCGGAATGAAGTCGTCAACTGCTATTTATACCCCTGCAGCTCATCAGGGTAATGATCTGCAGGTGTGCATGCATTGGCGCCATCTGGTGTAGGGAAACCATAGGAGAAAACCCTAGAACTCCTACATAGTCAGATGTAGGAAAGACTTTAGAGTTCTGATTTAAAACATGTAAAGTAAGCTCAGGTGTTGATACAGTTTGTCACCTGTCTTCATCTAAACTTGTTTCTTTACAGAAAACTGTGTGCATAAGAACTGAAATGGATAAACCAGTGGTGTAGTCTACATTTTTGCAGTAGGTATACTGCGGTATTGTTACTTTTATGTTGGATGTTGGACACTGTTGAAGAAACGGAGCGTGGATGGCTAAGGTTTTGCCGCAGTCAGTCCGTATACTGTGCTTAGAAACCAAAGTGGCCTGGTTAGTACAATGTATTTGTCAATTTATTTTGATTTTTACGCATATTGAACATTTCCAAATTTCTCTGATGCTTATTTGAGTAAATGAACAACAAAATGTGTACAACAGTTGGCTTTGTATAAAAACATGTTATAGAATTTATAAAACAGTATCAAAGCAAAATATGTTCAAGTATTAAGTAGTAAGTACAGAAGTATTTATTATACTTATAGCATTCATGAGTATATAATTATAACAGTCAACAATGGTGCACCACAATGCTCAGTCTTAGGACCCACCCTCTTTACAATCTACATTGATAATGTAGGTCAAAGCATCCTTGACACATCCTTACATTTCTATGCTGATAACACAGTTGTTTATTGTCGAGCTAAAACAGTTGCTAAGGCTTTACAGCTTTTGCAGTCTGCTTTCGACATCATCCAGTCAGATTTTTCTGTCTCAAACTTGTCCTAAACTCCAACAAAACCAAAGGGATGCTTTTTTCAAACAGGAAGTCGGTCCCAACAGTTCTTCCTCTGATTTTATCCTCAAATGGTGTCCCCATTGAGTTTGTTGATTCCTAGAAATATCTGGGTATCTTGGCCGATTTGCATCTCTCTTTTAAGCTTCACATGGAAAACCTAGTAAGGAAACTGAAAGTTAAACTGGGTTTATTTTTCAGAAACAGATCCTGTCTAACTCTGAATGCTAGGAAACGCCTTGTAACTGCATTATTTCCTTCCCTCCATTGACTACGGTGACGTTATTTACATGAACGCTCCTACAAGAACCCTGCAGATGTTGGATGCTGTCTATCACGGTGCACTAAGATTCATAACTGGCTGTAACTACTGTACCCATCATTGCACCCTGTATTCACTTGTTAACTGGTCATCATTAACCTTATGCAGACTCTCTCACTGGTACATTTTCTTCTTTAAATCACTTCTTGGTCTGCTGCCTTCATACATCTCCTCCTTCATGTCGGTGCGTGAGTGCAGCTACAGCGTGCGCTCTCAGGACATTATTACCTGCAGTGTTCCCTCAGTGAGGACTGAACTAGACAAAGGGGCCTTCTACTCCGCTCCTGTTTCCTGGAATATTTTGCAAAAAGATCTGAAGCTCTCGACCTTGACCTCTCTAAGTGGCTTCAAACATCTGTTATGTTCCTGGCAAAAACCAATGAAGACATGTTCATGTTTTTAGTTTTCTACACCACCTCGCAATCTAGCTGTTTTTTCGCTACTTTTCTATTTAATTATCCTTTTAATTACCATTTTATTTTCACTTGTAAAACATAAAAAAATTAATTTGTTCGCATCCTTTATGATTGTCTATTGTTATCGTTGTTGTCCACTGTTGTCATCACGCTTTGTTAAAAATTCAGGTCTCTCTTGTAAATGAGTCCCCGAGGCTCAATGGGATTAACCTGTATGAATAAAGGTTGAATGAAAAATACAATAATTCGATGGATAAGCAAATGTGATAAAAAAAAAAAAAGCGCAGATAGATTGTTACAAAAGCGTTTAACTGATGTTTAACGTTTCAGTGACACATACCTAACGATATGTCATGTATCATTGGACACTTTTAAGTGAGTATACTGAAATTCTTAAGCTTTTCTAGTGGGTACTGGTATACTCCGTATGCCTGCGTGTTATGTAGACTACACCACTGGAGCAAACATCATAGCACTACGTAGGAAAACTGTCTGAGAATATTCTGATGCATGCTCAATAAGCCAATGTATTGCCAGAGAATACAAAGTACTAAAAGCTTTGAAAGTGTGTATTTCCTAAAGCTGGAGCCACAGCAATATTTTTTAAAAGCACCTCCACATAGGATTTTTCTCAGACTTGATGATCATTGTCATTGCCTCCTACAGCCTGTGATGTCATCTACATGCTTTGGTTTATTTAAATAATTTTAAGTGCACGGCATATCGTTTCCACACAACGGTTATCACATTACACACTGTGCACAGACATTACTAAGAATCTATTGTTCTCACTGCTCCTGTTTGTTTTTCGCTCTTTACTGCGCCCTGTTTGAATAGGTTTCATGATTGTGCTGGAGAGCTGCTTTGAACAAATACATTACACAAAGGTCAAATGTACGTGCCACAATAGAATGTTTCCTGATTGAAGTGGACGCTTCCTCGGTGAGCTGAAATAAATGGACACTTTGAAATCAATGCACCATGCAGAGACTTCGCTGCGATAGTTTGAAGGTTGAGATTTCTTGTGAGTGACTGCTTCTCTGTGTGTGTGCGTGCATGTGTGAGCTGATTATTATGTCAGGCACATCGACGTTGAACTTGCCTTTGTGCTCGAGTGAAACTGCTTTGTTTCTTTTGGCTTCTCATTTCCATACTCGTGCAACAAGTCTGGATGTGTTTTACACATGTGGTAGTGACCTGTACAGAATTTCAACAGTATGTATATCTCAGTCTCATATTTTACCATGTAAAACTAAAGCCAAGTCTGAAATAGATATAACATACACATTTGTCACAGTCACGCCTGGTTTCACAATGTCTGCTTCTTTCCTACCAGCACACACAAAAAGAAGTATTAATTTCATATAATTTTACTTGGAACAAAAGCCCTATTCAGCATTGTTTTGGTTAGTGTCAGTATCGTAACATCTGGATTTTTATTGTTGACTGTTTTTCCAATTGGCTTAAGCGTCTGTCTCTGCACAGTTTAACAAACTGTAATTTATTTAGGTTGATTTCATGTTTTTTTTGCTGTCATTTTCCAACTCAAGTCAACTTTTATCTTTCGTAGGAGTACTGCAGAGCAGCTAAAGAGATGCGAGTGCGCTGGCCTTCCTCCGTCTGAGCTGCCCGAGAAATACAGAAATTGCCTTGCAGCGCCTCTACCAGCACACAGAAGAGGTGCGGATGTATGTTTTATGAACACAGGCCTGAATGATGCAGGTGGACAATCAAACAATGGATTTCTGATGGTGCTTACTTCTCTGAGGATGTACGAGGACAAAGAGAAGCACAGAGAGAGTGGGAGTAAAAAAGAGAACGAGAAAAGAACAAACAGGAGATAGAGGGAGCAGTAGTGAACAAGAGATGATGATTGCACTGAGAGAGGTACGGAGCTGTGTGGGCAACAAATTGGCCAAGAGACCCCCCACCCCCATAAAAAGAAATGAAAGGTTGTGATGGGAAAAAAATGCAAAAGTTCAAAATGAACAGACTCCTCATTGCTATTTAAATAAACAGGTTCTCTTTAAATGTAAAAGCAGGGAAAGACAAAGACCTGAGTTGCATGCAGACGTTGTAAAATCCATATGCAGAACCTCTCCACACTCTGGGGACAAATGCATACCAATGAACATGCACTAATGACATGGAAAGAGTTATTGAGGTAACTCACTACTACAACACACCACTAGACTGAGGAACAGCTTCTACCCTGAAGCTGTTAGAATCATAAATCCATAACCAGGATAATCACTGTAATGCCACTTAAATTGGTGATATGTGGCTTATCTCTGCTGCTGATTATCCATGCTGCTGATCTCTTGCCTTTATGCTGCTGTATTCATACCCATCTACTCACTACAGACTCATGTTCAGGCTGTTGTTTAATATACTGTTTTATTTTACACTAGTAGTGTTTAGTGTATATCTTAGTATATATCTTAGGTACTTGTACAATAGACCCCCATTTACCGCAGGGTTTAGGGACCACGCCCCTCCACGATAAATGAAAAACCGCAATCTCCCTCCTTCTGCGCTAGATAAAGCTTTTCCTTAATTTACACATATCCGAGGAGAAATTTGATATGTCGGCCGGTTTTCGAGGCCAACCGAGGGAGTCGGATTCAGATAAGTCACAATTGTTTATTTTCTTCAGGCAGACTGTTTTTTCTTGTCAGCCTTGGGTGGCTGTGGCTGAATTGGTAGAACAGTTGTCCACCAATGCAAGAGTTGGGGATTCGATTCCACCAGCAGTCACATGCCGAAGTGACCCTGGGCAAGACACTGAACCCCTCATTGCCTCCAATGTGTGTCCCATCAGTGTATTAATGTGATAAATCACAGATTAGTCTCATTAGAATGATTTGTTCAATTAGCTTTGTATAGATCTAGTAGAGTGTTGTATGAATGGGTAAATGAGGGCACAGATTGGGTTGTAAAGCACTTTGAGTATCTTGATAAGATAGAAAGGCGCTATACAAGTACAGTCCATTTACCATTTACTTGAGTCCTGATGGTACTTTCAAGATACAAAATGGCCAGATTATTGGGCATTCCACTGGTCCGTGCTTATGAGTCTCCTTCAAGGTCGTCCCCAACATGCTGTCGAGTCCCATAAGCTGCAGGTGGCCTGCGATTCACTTCCATCTTGTGGTTTAGCTCATAAATCAGCTGATTTTGAATACTCATAGCACAAACCAAACCTTCAACAGACTGCAGTTTTGCCATGGCCGAAACTGCTGCCGCCGTCTTCCTTAATAGCCGATAACATAGGAATCCACCGATGCCAGAGAGCAGAAACCCTGCTATCATGAATCCAACTATATAAACATCTTGGGCGTTCTCCTGAGACAGAACATAAAGACACATCAGCTGTCAA